TCAGGATACCTTAGCAAAAGTTCAAGTCTCCTCTAAGAATATTACTTGAGTAAAAGTCTTAAAGTATCTAATATAGTTTGTCTGACATAAAATGTACTTAAGTATAAAAAGTAAAAGTAAAAATTAGTGGCTAAATTTTCCAAAGCGACATTTACTGGAGCTGACACCCTAAAAATATATTCATATACTGTATATATTTGTTTTTCTACAGGCCAAAATGGTTAAATTTATAAAGAAGGTAATGTTAAAACATTTAGGATGCACTAGTCTACCTATCTGCTGAAGTGTGACATGATTTGTGTCATTTGCAGCTGGGATGGATTGTGTACAAACTAATAYAGAACATTTTAAATTTATACTTCTCATCCGTCCACAATTAAATTCACTCTATCCAGGAGGCACAGTTTATCAGGATAGTTTTTTTTTAACAACAACAAGCCATAAAAATGAAATAGGAGTAACAACTTTCTACTTCTGAACTTTTTTAAAAATGTAGTGAGTAGAAAGTACAGGTAACTGTGTAAAAATGTAAGGAGTACAAGTAAAAAGTAGGCTGAAAAATAATTACTCAAGTAAAGTACAGATAACCAAAATTTCTACTTAGGTACAGTAACAAAGTATTTGTACTTAGTTACTTTATAACTCTGGTAGTGAAACATTTTACCTGGAAAGCAGAGCTGGGGCAAGACGACAAGGTCGATGTCTTTTGGTACAGAGACGTCTACACTTCCCTCTGATGCATCTTCACCTGTAAAAATACACCCTGGGTGAAATAAGATTTAAAAAATCTAAAGAAAACTCGTAGCATTCAGTACTTTAGGTTTTTTTCTTTTTTTGTGCAACAGTGTGTTTCTGTATTACAAGTAATTATATGATTTGTTGCTGCACCTGAAGGTGGTTGTTCCCTCTTTTTCTTGAGAAAGGAGCGCCTCTTAATCCCACCTAACTTCAGAGCTTCACGCTCAGATATTCTGCTAACAAARGGAGGTGCCAGGACATGGAGAACCTCCGGCTCCACCTGGGCACACTCTAGACTGCCAGTACTGTGAACAACCTGAGTGCGAAATGGGTATAATCGAGTTTAATGACACGAAAAGGAAAAACATAAGTTTGTARTCCGTGTTTAATCAAACAACACGTTAGAAAGCGGAGACCTGGCAAACTTCCCGAAGCTTTTCACTGGACGCTCCGACCACCACGCAGGCTTCCAGCAGAGCAGGTGGCAAACAGTCCRTCATCGTCTGAGGGATGATGTCACACAACTGGGCTGTCTCTGATGTGCTAATAACAAGTAGAGTCTAATCAAATCAACACAAGGAGATACATAAAAAATACAGTTTGCCTTTTTTTAGGGATTTTCAAAGCAATAAACCAGAAACTAATTATTAAAGTAATTATTTTTCACACATCTTTCTGTGAAAATATCTATCTGAACACAAGAAGTGACCTTGTGTAACATTAACGTTTAATACCCAGAATCCATTAGAAATGGAATTTTTCTCAGTCTAAAACAGATTAGGGTGAAAGATTAGAGCATATAAAATGTGTAATTAAATGTATTTGTCTAGAATAATGGMGGTCAGATTTTTAGAATTAATAAAGGGGGRAAAATTACATCTGCTCAAAATCAATTATGAATACCCCTTAGCAAAAAAGTAGCATACTTGAAGTTAATTTTAATAAGGATGCTTGAGTATAAGTTTAAATAGCTATTTCAAGTATACTAGTAGGTATCATGTACTTGTAGTGTACTAGAAAGTATACTGATTTAAATACTCATTCATAC